CACAAAAATTATCATACCAATCGGTCAAGCAGTATCGGATAAGTTTGGCGATAAAAACCGTGACAGAGACAGAAGAATTTTATATATTAGAGGTGTTACATAACCATTCGTTCAACAAACTCATTTAGCTGCATTTCTGGATGTTAACATTGTTAATTTTCATATCTACAGGGTGTAATCTAATCGATAGTTGACAATATAGCATATGGTTTTAAACGGAAAAACCAGATATTCTGGTTTTTACTTGATTTTTTGGCACTAACAGAAACTCAAGTGAACTCGTCCACCAACAAGGTCCTGGGTACGAACTCCATTCTCGATTCAGGTTCAGAGGTGGAGTCTGCCTCTCCGCTAAGGCTAACTTTTCATGCGAGCGTGTAGAGAGTTTGGAACCGAAAGACTTTGATGTGATGTGGTTCAAGCTAGTCGATACCAAACTGACTAAATTTACCTGCTGCCTTTACCTATCGCCTAATGATAATGAATATTGGTGTTGTGTTTTTATCACTCAAGCTGGACTTAATTCAGGAGAACCATCCAACAGCTGAAATCATAACAATGGGAGACTTCAATGTACACAACGCAGCCTGGCTCAAATTCTCTAACAAAACAGATGATGCAGGTCGTCAAACTGAGGCCTTCGCTATCACTCATGGTCTAGAACAACTAGTCGAGCTACCCACCCGCATTCCAGATGTCAACAACCAGTCTGCCAATACACTAGATCTTTTTCTCACCAGCAATCCTGATTCATATAGAATATAAGTTTGTGCCCCACTTGGAAACTCGGACCACGCCTTCATCTCCACAACCTGCTCTTTCCATGTACTATCCAGCACCACAATTTCTACCCGTCTCATGTGGCATTACAATTCGGCCGACTGGGAACGTCTTCGTATGTTTTTTCAGCGTTTCCATGGAAGAGAGTTTGTTTCTCCTCAGCCGATCCAACACGATGTGCTGAGACAATTTCTGAAATCATCATGTTGGGGATGCAAACCTACATACCGAACACTGCAAGGAGTACATCTTCCGATAAGGCCTGGTTCAGTAGAAACTGCTCTAGAGCTGTCGCTTCCAAACAGGTAGCATTCCATCGAAGGCAGAAAAATCCAGGCCCTGAGACCAGAGCAGAATATGTCGAGGCTGATAATGCCAAAATATGATCAAAACTTGTTGAATGTCCTGACGGATCCCGTTCATTTTGGTCCTTCGCAAAAGCTGTAGGAAGAAACTTCACTTTCAGCTCGTTTCCTCCTCTAACCAAGGAAGATGGAACACTAGCCACAACTGCCCAGTTGTTCGTACATAGAACGGCTTAGTTTGGACATTCTCTGCCCAGGCAACTATTCTCAAGAACTTATAAGCCCTCCAGAAGTTGAAAAAAAAAATTCAATCCTACCTCCTCTTCCTATTCTCCATAGGTATGCAACATGTTCCATGAACCTGTTAGTGATTTCCTTTTGTGCGCTAAAAGTTGAAAATTATAAACCTGTTCAAATAGCACATAATATGTAATGTGTGCATGTATTGTTGTTCATTGTTCACAGCCTTTAATTTGATCTCTTTGATTTATCACTGATTGTTGTGATTGTTTGTTGTTGATTATCTTGTACTGGGATTGTCAAGTTGAATGAATTAAAAAAAAAATCAATTTACAATGTAATGTATGGAAGACATAGTGCACTGATAAAGACTAATAGAATTCAACATATAATATGTTTGAAGTACCTCATTTAGCTTCATGTTCTTGTAATAGAATTTAAAAAATAATTCAAGATAGTGTCACCAAGATGGCAAACGATTTCACAAATTATTGTGATTATTAAAAAAAACTGCATATTAAGGTTTTTTTAGGTGGGAATTAATATAAAATTGGAAATTTAGATATGAGTCTTCCAGGACAGACTAATATTTTGCCAAAAATAAAAGAATTATCCTGAAAAGAAAACTCTTAATGGATGTTCCATGATACACTCAATATTCCAAGTGAAATATGGTCCTGAAATCATAGCTATTGGACTAAACAATCACTTACCTGACCCTGATGTAATTACTTTAGTTACCTGCTTCAACAAACAGTTCAATTCAGAAATTACAAATCTACTGATAAAGAACCTATTAGATTCTCTGCAGAAGTTTCTTGACTACTAATTTTCACATGTTTAATGTAAAGTTAGTTCATGATGTTATTCTGTTAGGTCCAATTCCATCATTTTATTGTTGACCCCTGACAATGCCAGAAATATTGTAATATCTCACTCAATCATAATATACAAAGCAGGGCTGGAATAAGTTTAGGCCTTTTTTAAATAAGTGAAAAAAGTCCCACTTTTTGAATCAATTCACTTTTAAAAAAATCATATTTTATTCACTTCATCAAAATACCAAAAAAAAAACAACAAAAACTAAGTTTTTATTTTTTCAAAAATCTGAAAGCATAACATAATGAAAGATGCAGTCTTGGCAAAACAAACTGAAACTATTGATTGAATAGAAATCAATAAATCTATATGCAATGTATTACTCATTAAGAATTTTCATTGGAAAAGTTAGTTTTTCACTTGATGTGGGTGATACACAGTTGTCAGATGTTTATCATGGCCAGGTTGCCATAATGCCATGGGATTTTTCAGTTTGAAGTACTTTAAAGTGAAGGTAATAATGTGATTTGTTCCCATTGGAGATAGTTCCAATTAATTCACCTCTTATTGAAAAAGTCATTCATATTAATTCAGGAATTAGAGCACTGACTTAAATCATATGAATTAATGTGACAACCCTGATACATGTGCAAAATTGAAACCACATACAATAGATTCAAGGACATTTTTTTCATTTTTATACAACTGTGATACAATCTCATGTGGTATGGGCCCTGAAAATAATCTCAAAATAAAAATACTAATTAAGGCAAAGATATAATAGATATTCAAATGACAACTTTATAGGTATTTTGTAGTCACTATGGATAGTTCTTTCAGATGTGATTTTCCTATGGGATCAGCATTTCTTGTCTCTTGATATCATGTAGATGTTTATATGTATAGTGGTTAGGACACACAAATAAAACACACCATATAAAATCCAGAATATTGCATGAAGACCTCATTTGAATGAAATCATTAGTCCATTGAATTAAATCTTATCTGAACAACTAAATTATCCAGTAAATTATATACTGAATACATGGAAACAATTAGAATTGAGGCTAGAAGAAATTGCTTTCCATCTATGACCCCAACATAAATTCCAGGATATCAAAAAATCACTAAATTAGGTTCATGATAGGTGAAACACTCACCTGGTGAGGAAGTTGAAGTATTTTCTGTATTTCGTTGAGATGATCTCAATACTAAATGAATAGTTAGACCATCCTTGATGTTATGTTGTTTTAAAGTGTCTTCATCTTTCAATATCTTTCCAGCAAAGATGAGGCACAACTGATCAGGCTCTGCAGTGAATTTTGTCCTTATAACCTTTTTGAACTGAAATAAATAATCAAGATGACAAGTAGACTTCTTGTCATGTTTTCAGATAGTTGAGACTCACCTCCTTCACAAGACAATTTTCATCAACCTCAAATGATTCTTTTTCTTTAGGGGTTTTTACAAAAACATTTATTTTTGTTGGTTCTTGGGATTCCTTGGAGTCTTCACTAGATTTCTGATCTTTTTGTGGGGTGACAGGAACATCGTCAGCCATGATTATGTGGAATGACTAATGATTTTATTCCTTACTGTACACGAAAAACGATGACTCCAAATTAATTATTATATTGCATTATTATACCTCACTTACGTTCGACTTGTATTTTCTGTTAGATATAAGAACATACGTATTTATGAATAACTACCTTCGATGATAACACCTTGCCAACAATCATATATTTTTGAGTTCTAACAATGTTCCAGAAGGAATATTTAATGATTAATCACAATAAAATATTATGGATGGACACGACAGCGACTCGAACTTGACGACAGATGGATAACCATAAATTAACCTAACCAACAAACCAACCACACTAGAGATGGGTATCGTGCATAAAAGAATCGATATATCGTCTGGTCGCTTGATCAATGTTTCCTGTGCCCTCGTGTCAGTCACTCGTCACTATGTCTTATCAGTTGTCAGTTTTCCTATGCTGTGCATACTAGGTTTGTTCTCATTAGAAAAATAAGCAGTTCCACTTGGTTCCATTAGTGTTGCCAACCAGAAAGTAATAAATGTCGCTACGTCACCACAAAAATTCCGCTACGCCCCGCTACGTCTTTTATATTTTCGATACACACCAGTATATTTTGGACCAACAATTTGGATACCAATTGGCATTTGATTTTTTTAATAAATAAAAAAATAATTCTACAACAAAACTTGCACTCTTATTTTGTAAACATAAATATAAACAGCTAAGTAAAATGAAATCCTTAACTATTTTTCAACAGACCCAGATGAGTTTGCTGCTTGGCAGCATGTATATTATTATTAATCATGCATTTATACACCTTTTTATATACTTTACACTCCCAGCAAATCATTATCTATAGTAGGTACAACATAGGAAACATAACATTGATTTGTTTTGTTTCCATTATTCAAAAAGATTTGGGGAACCCCCGAAAAATCGTATTTTTCGGCATACTAGAACCCTTTAACCATACCTAACACAACTTGCTTTGCAGTCCTGGCACCTGGCACGACCCTGTGCCGATTTTCCGTTCGAAATGGAAGCTCAAACTGTTATTATATAGATGCCGCGCAGCTCAGAGCTCATGATACTTATGATAAAAAATCTGTTTTAGAATTTTGACTACATACACCTCTAAAAGATTTGAAATTAAAATCCGCTACGTATTGCTGTCATATTGCTCCACCGCCGCTACGCCGCTCTTGAAGGAAAATCCCGCTATGCATAGCGGAATTCCGCTACGGTTGGCAACACTTCCATACCATCGGAATCATGCGCAGTTCCACGGAACATGAATAATGCCTACAGTTCCTTGAAACTGCGCATGCTCCTGGTGGTTTCGGACTGTACTGTTTATGTTATTGTTCGAAGTTCGAACGAGAACAAACCTACTGAAAACTGATTGTTGTTGACAAAAAAAGCGTGGTTTCGCTTTGTGTTTTGGGTTCATCAATTTTTGAAAATCATAATATCAAAATAAACCCTAATATACTCAAACATGTTCTTGATGTATTATTTGAATGAGTTGGGTCAAAGAATTTACACCTTGAAGGTAAGAAATATTTGCTAGATTTTTATTAAGTTGCATACATATCCTTAACCTCAAAATCACCCATGATTCTTGCATGATTATTTATGGGATAATAAACATATGCACTACCATCTTACTGCTCCATAATAACCATAATGCTCTTTATTTCAGAAGGAAACACCAAGTGGTAAACCCACACTCTCAGCTCATCCTGGTGAGTATCTACTACCTCTACCGGCTCTACCTACCAACATTCAATGTCATAGGGAGGAATGAGGAAATAATAAGGGTTCAGTGTCCTGACTATCAATACAGTAGTCAAGCCATTGTTATCAAGTGTTGATACATATATTGCAGTCTGGAGTTGGGATCCCAAATTATTAATTTGATTGGTATTAGCTCCTTCAGGTATTACAGTGACTTCATTGGAGTTTTATTGTTACAGCTCGTTTCTCTCCAGAGGATCAGTATTCAGAGGAAAGGATAATTTTGAAATCCAGGCATAAGTTACTGAAGACCCAGCAACCAGAACCAGCTTATTGATCTAATGATTACATATTTCCAATATCAATTACTTTTTTTGTTAAGTTTGCCAATACAGTTCTGCAATCCTTAGTTTTGAATTGTTGCCCAATAGGAAGGAATCAAATGAAAATAATTTCTAGCTCACTGTAGTTATCCTATTCCAGTAAGCATGGGTGGAAGTTTATATTTTCTTATCTTTGATTTTCAAATACAATAAATAAATAGCAAAAAGTTCCTTTTTTCACACAGTGTCATGACAAAATAAGTTGAATTTGAAATAATCACTGGAAGGTGAAGGGGTTCCACAATAACAAATAAGCTGAAGTAGAAGTAGGCTTAAGGTGGCTAGATAGCCACTTTAAGTAGGCTGCTAACTGAAATGTTTGAGGTATCTGATTGGTCTTAATACTGGTGGATGTATGAAGTCTGGTCTCTCTAAATTCTTGCTTTAGTACTTTCTTTCTCTTGTGAAAAAACTGGTGTTTGCCATCAGACATCGGCTTGTTCCTGAATTCTATTTTTATTTCACTGTATAGATTTCATAATATGATCAAATGAATTCAACTGATTCCTTTACAAAAAAAAAAACATTCAATTATTGAGCAGGCAGAGTTATGTCAGTATATAGATATATGCATGCTGAGAAGTTCGCAGTGCATTATTGATAAATTTAAACTAGTGTTCCTATTTTCATTTGCAGTAGAACAAATGACATGTCTCATTGGGACTAAAACTGTAATTTATCCTTTGCTTTCCAAACAAAAAGTGACACTTCAACTCCTAATGGAACAACTTACTTTTGTGGTATCGGTTATCTAAACTGGTCAACAAAATAAACGTCGTGGTTGAAAATCCGATTTCAAAATCGAAATAATCATGGTTCCCATAACTAATTTCAATTCGATTTTCACAGTTGGCTAGCCCAAACTTTCAGTTACTTGTTTGATAATATGTTACTTGTTAACTGAAAGATTGGAATCGGCCTATATTTCGGACCAGGACGTTTCTTTTGTTGACCAATTTATTAAAAATATTCAACAACTATTTAGTCATTTTTTCTGGAACCCAACCAGGTTAACTTTATGATGACGTCACGGTTTACTTGTGAAGCTTGACAGTTGCCAGTCTATCAGCTGTTTTTGTTTATTGTTGGTTTTAATGGTTTTAGTAGTATTTAAATATTGAATAAAAAATGCATCTTCTGTAACAAGAATATATCATAGATAGGAACTAGGTACTTACCTATACTTCAAATTCAAGAAACAATTTGCTACATTATTTACAATGAATCAAATATTCATTTTCAACAATAATATGAAGTGATCTCTCATTCTTCATATGAATCCATAATTATCTCTAAGAAGTATAATTATTTATTCTTATCAATTATATAACCTCAGATTATAACAACAAGAGCCCAATCAAAAGCCTCAACTACTCCATGAAGTACCTCAGAGAGCTGGTAAACTATTACTTGATAGTTTGGAATACACTTCAAGGAAAATGGACTAGTCAACTTATTGTTGATCTAGTTTGTGTGGTTAACTTTGAGGAAAAATGGTTTTTGTAAGTGCCGGAAGCAGAAAATTATTAAAACAAAACTTTAATAATGAGTAGTTTGGAATAATACATAATATATCAAGGTATAATGAAGAAAATAAAATAACATCTGGAAAGGCCTTTTCTATATGATATAATGTGAACAAGAAGACCCTTTTCAATTTATTATACACAATCGAAAGAAAATTACGCCAGGCCTAGACGGCGCATCTCCTTAAGCAACTCGTTGCCCATCTGGGCGGGCGACATGGTAACGATGACGCCGGCCTTTTCCAGGGCGCGGATTTTGTCCTGCGCCCCACCTTTTCCGCCCGAAATGATGGCTCCGGCGTGTCCCATGCGACGGCCGGGAGGCGCAGAGAGACCAGCGATGAAGGACACCACGGGCTTAGCGTTGGGACCCTGAAAAAAGAAACTGCTCAAGAATAGTACAATGGAACCTTAAATATTTTCCTCTCCCATAGCTTCAAAACTGGAGAAGAACTATGAAGAACCGTCAAACGGGGTAATGTGAATCCTAGTGGGTAAAATGACATAGAGTATGTTTCTTGGCATAGAGTATGTTCCTTGGCATAGAGTATGCTTTGACTCTGAGGACCCTTCACAGTGTGCTGCGGAAATATCCGAGATCATCATGCTTGAAATGGACACATACATACCTCATTTTTCGAAAAGATCATCACCTTCGAAACCCTCGTTCTACAAAAACTGTTCTAGAACTGTTGCCTTGAAACAAACAGCCTACCATCGCTGGCGCAAAAACCCTAACCTCGCGACTAGAGCAGAATACGTTAATGTCAGGAATAACTGCAGCCAAACAATAGATGCTTCGAATTCGAAAGAAACATACAATGCTGAAGCTAAAGCGGTTGGAAGAAATTTCACTAATAGTTAATTTCCACCACTGTCCAAATCCGACGGCACATTAGCAACAACATCGCAGGAGGAAGCAAATATTTTTGCAAAGATGTTCGCAGCAAACTCTACTTCAGATTCCCAAAGAAAAGTGCCGCCAGACATTCCACCCGTTGATAGTCCAATGCCAGAAATCGTCTTCCGTCAACGCACTATCAGACGAATTTTGCTTGGTATCAAAACGAATAAGGCTAACGGTCCTGATGGAATTCCACCCATTATCCTCAAAAAATGTGCACCAGAATTAACACCGATTCTCTGCAAGTTATTCTCCATCTCGTACAAGTCGGGTATTTTTCCATCATGCTGGAAGACAGCTAGAGTCCAACCAATCCCCAAAAAAGGGAACAAGAACCTGCCCAACAACTACAGGCCCATTGCCCTGTTATCAGTAATCTCCAAAGTGATGGAGAAAGCCATCAATATTGAGCTTATCAAATATCTGGAGAGCTCAGGAATCGTCAATGATAGACAATACGGCTTTCGCCACCGAAGATCTACTGGAGATCTACTTGCCTACGTCACCCATTTATGGCAATCTTCAATAGAAAAACACGAGGAATCTCTAGCTGTCGCGTTGGACATATCGAAAGCATTCGACCGTGTTTGGCACGAAGGACTCCTCCACAAACTACCATCATACGGCTTACCACCTCAGCTATGCCATCTCTTATCGAGTTTTCTTTCAGGCAGATCGCTTCACGTGGTGGTGGACGGTGTATCGTCTGATACCATTGGCATCAATTCCGGCGTTCCACAAGGATCAATCTTGGCACCAACATTATTCCTGCTTCATATCAATGATCTGTTGGGAGTAACAACTTGTCCCATCCACAGCTTTGCAGATGATAGTACCCTCCATACTGCGTTCTCTTTCAGAATTCCCATTTCTTCCCAAGAAACTAAGAACTCACGGCGCAGGCAGGTCAATGCTGTCAATGAAGATCTTGCTGAAATCACAGCCTGGGGAACGAACAACCTAGTTGAATTCAACGCCACCAAAACTCAAGCCTGCATTTTCTCTAGAAAGGCGGAACTGAGTATGCCCGATATTGTAATGTCTGGCTCCACCATCCCCACCAAGCCCACCATATCTATGCTCGGTATTTCCATCAGCAACACTCTTTCATGGGATAATCATGTCAGATCCATCGCAAAAGCTGCTTCACAAAATCTCGGATTCTTGTTCCGTGCGAAAAGCTACTTTACACCTCAACAGCTTCTCATGATCTACAAAGCGCAGATACGGCCTGTTCTAGAATACTGTTCCCACATATGGAGTTCAGCACCAAAACATACGCTGATGCTCTTAGATTCCATCCAGAGAAGAGCCATTCGCCTGGTGGGTGACCCCACACTCACTCACTCTTTGACATCATTGGAACACCGTAGAAAGGTCGGCGACCTTTCACTTTTCTATCGATACTTCCACGGGAAATGTTCTTCGGAAATCTCTGCAATCATCCCTTCACTAGCAATACCAATCAGACGAACTAGACAAGCCCAGTCAGCACATCCTTTCGTTGTCAACCTCGAAAGATGTCGAACAGCACTTTATCAAGACTCCTTCATCCATAGAACGGCTAGGCTCTGGAATTCATTGCCTGTGGAAGTATTCCCAACAACATATAATCTCCAAAAATTCAAAAAAAATTCCAATACCTACCTCCTGTCCCTATCCTCCCTAGGAACGCACGATGTTCTTTGAACATTATAGGGATTCCCTTTCGTGCGCTCCAATCGATAAAAAAAAAATCAGTCGGGTGTTTCAGTACAAAAGAGGGCGCTGTTTGCTCTAGCTGCGAAATTGAAACGTTTTCGTGTACCAGTCGTCTCATCAGTACGGCTAAGTAAGTGAAGAAGGGTGTCCACGTTTCGCCGCGCTTAAAGAAACACTAGAGTATCACGAACACATTTTAGGTCGCACTTTGGGCTCTAACAGATTTTACTATTTTTACAAAACTGTTTAACGATTGTGGAGGCCCTAACTTTATAATTTCATTTACTTCCATGCTCTAAATGTGTTAAATAGTTATTACTGAAGAAACATTTGATAACATTTTTGTCCAAATGTTCTTAGTTAAATTTTAGCATTTTTTTTACTTTGAAGTGGTAACTATAATGGGTAGAATGAATCATTCTAGTTCCTATGAAATCGGGGTTTATATTTTGTGATTGTGGATATTTTTTATGTTATATCTTGCAATACTATGAATTAATTATCAATTTCATATAATTTGATTTATTCCTAGCATGCCGAGATTATAATATATCATAAGAATGCAATCACAACAACAAAATATTTTACCAGAAAAAATTAAGGCTTTTTTGTATATTTTTGTTTCACGACCACGTTTGACGGTACTCTTTATCCCAGGGGCGTTAATAATTTTTTTCTTGGGTGGGAAAAGGTAATGGCTTCTTGGTTTAGGCAATGAAAAAAAAATCATCTGTTCAAGAAGAGTACAATCAAGCTTCAAATCTTTTCCTCTGCCGTAAAGCTTCAAAACTGGAGAACTCTGAAATACTCTTTATCCCAGGGGCGTCGATAATTTTTTTTTCTGGGGGAGGGGAGGGGGTAATGGATTTTTGGTTTGGGTAATGAAAAAAAAATCATGTTATAGAGCCATGAATAATATACAGTGCCCCTGCTAATAACACAGGCCTTCCACATCCATTGGATGAACCAAAATGCCTATCCAATGGAATACCACTGACACCAATGTATTTCCAAAAAATTTCCGGATATTCATGGACATGAATTGTACATCCATGGGATAAACCTGAATGCCTATCCAAAGACTAGTG